GAAGGAACTCTGACCATCATCTGTCCCCAGACTGAGAGTTTACAAAGTTCCCCTTTTGTCTTTTGACGGAGGATGGAGTGGATGCTGCTGTTATTTATCACGCCCATTTCACAGATGAGATCAGTGAACATGCCGTCCAAGTTTATTTACAGATGGCAGAGCCTGGAGCTCAACACCCGACCTTGGGGGCCCAGGCCCGTGTGCTCTGCCACACAGGAACAGAACCCTCCTCCCCACATTAAACGGAGCAGCACGTGGCTTCCCAGCCACGTGGCTGCTCTAAATGGCCCTGGAGGGCTCTAAATGGCCCTGGAGGCTCCTTGAGAGGTTGGGGGCAATGCCTGAGCAGAAGGGGAGGAGAAGAGGCCCCGGCTCCCCAGCACGACCTTTCTGTCCTTGAGACTTGATCTCTAGCAGCCTCAGGAGCTGCTGTAAGTCAGGACAGCCACGTGTCCAGTGCAAGAGATCCAGGGCTGGGGCAGCCTTGGCCCTGGAAGGCCCCCCCGTTAGCTACAGCTAGTGGGCCTTGCTATTCTGAGCCTGGTTGTGGGGTCTGACGTGGTGCTGGCTTCTTTGTGTGTTGGCTGGTGTTTCGCTCGGTTTTTGCTTGAAGCTCCACTCTGCACCTCATATTCCATCTGTATCGCGAGAAGTGCTTCTGATCTGCCATCCGTGAGATGTGATTCCTGGTGGGAGGGGAGGGCGACGCTCTCCATAGGCTCCTCTGCAGAAGAGGAAACCTGGCTTGGAGTGACGCACTTCCCACCGGCATGAGTAGAGGCTGGCCTCTGGGTGTTTGAACCTTGGCTTCCGAGCCCCCTCCCAAGCCGGGTGCCTGGGTCATGACGCCTCCATCTCCCCGCGCCTCCTATCCTGCAGGCCGGTGCTCTTCTGCCTGCTTCCCGGGTGGGGGCTGGGCCAGGTGCCCTCTCATCTCATCTTGTGCACCGCTCGGCCAGTGTGGCCTCATCCTGGGCTGTACCAGACCATGCCATGGGGCTCAGCTTTGTCTTCAAGATGAAATGAAGCTGGAGCTAGCACTGGGCTGTCCTCCTAGGCCCTTGTAGCTTCCTGAGGTCCAGTATGAAATGCATCCCATGCACTGGGCAGGCAGCAGAAGGCTGGGCTCCACAATGCTGCTGCCATGGCCCAGAAGTCAAGAGATGCCCTGAAGGGCAGCCCACCCCACCCCAGGACCCATGACATGCCTCTCCCTCCCCTGTTCCACATGACCTCTGCATCCCATAAGATCGGTTCCATATAGCTCCTCAAAGCCTCAGCCCCAAGAGGAGCCCCATATAGCTCATGTGCAGACTCAGCCTGCAGATAGACAAGGGGTCCCCAAAATGCAGGAACAAGCCAGCTCGGGGAGGCCGTGCCCCTGCCACCAAGGCAGAGCCCAGCGCCCAGTAGGAGCCTTCAGTTGCTGCTGGACAGCTGATCTTTTCGCAGCTTCTCCTTTGCCAGTCCTTGCGGAGGACGCCTCACTGCATGAGCCACCTGTCATCAGCCCACTGGGGCAGCCCTCCTACGATGTCTCTAAGGGAGGATCCTTCCTGCCTCTCCCAGCTTCGGGTGATGCCCAGTATTGCTTGGCTTGTGGCCACATCCCTCCAACTCCAATCTCTGCCTTTGTCTTGCCATGACCTTTTCTGTGTCTCTCTTTTTCTTCTTTCTTTCTTCCTTTTATTTTTTTCCCATAAGGTCTTACCCTGTTGCTGAGGCTAGAGTGCAGTGGTGCAATCACGGCTCACTAAATCTTCAACCTTTTGGACCCAAGTGGTTGAACCTCCCACCTCCCGAGTAGCTGGGAACACAGGCATGCATCGCCGTGCCCAGCTATATTTGTTTTCTGTAATTTTTTTTTTTTTTTGTAGATACAGGATCTCCCTATGTTGCCCAGGCTGGTCCTTAAC